TATATCGCTGGTACAGGAAGCCACGGCGCTGAGCGAAGCCATTTCGCACCATACGGCAGCGACCATGGGTTTGGAGGGTGCTGATCCCATGAACGGACTGCTTCGCCAGAAAGGGCTCGAAATCTACCTTCCCCAGGTCCGTCTGCCGCAGCTGGCGGGTATAGTGCTTGTTGCGGGGCTGAGTGATGTGATCAAGGGCTACCGGCACGAGATGGAGCAGGGGATCGAGCATCTCAGTTATTTGCGTCGATGGACGGGACCTTCACACGCGCAGTGCTTGCTGCACTCACCTGTGCATCTGCTGATGGAGTCGAAGAATGTCCTCGACGCGTCGTTCCTGCCTGCCAAGTTTCTGCTAATCCATGGCGGGATGGACACGACAATCCCGCTGTACCACTCGGTACTTCTCCGCACGCTACTTAATGATTCAGGCGTGGAGGATGTCAAAATGCGCGCCTATCGCAACTTGAAGCATTTTGAAGCGCTCGCCTGCCTCGCGGATCGCTACTCGCCCTACGCGCACCAGGTACTCAACGACGTGCGCGAGTTTATTTCCTAGGTGCATAGTTACGCGTCATGGGAATACCGGAATTAAGGGCGACCTGTGCGCCGCCAACATTTTGCCGTTGTGACTCGTTCGAACCACACTTTCCACCATGTCCTCTCATCCCGTGCACCCCGAGAGTACTACGCGCGCCCCGCTTGATGCGAGTCGGCTGAAGGTTGAGAAGAACCCGAAGGCGGGCACTCCGCCGCCGCCCGAACAGCTCGTGTTCGGCCAGACGTTCACGGACCACATGCTCGTCGTCCCGTGGACCGCCGAGGGCGGCTGGGGCGAGCCCAAGATTCAGGCATACAGCCCGCTGTCGCTGCAGCCGAGCTCGATCATCTTCCACTATGCTCCGTCGCTGTTTGAGGGTCTGAAGGCGTACAAGAACCCCAAGGGCGAAGTGCGTCTTTTCCGCCCGGACATGAACGCGGCGCGCATGAACCGTAGCGCTGAGCGCATCTCGCTGCCGGTACGTTGCCTGAACTTACACAGACTTTCGATGGGGATGAGCTCGTGAAGTTGCTCAAGAAGCTCGTCGAGATCGACGCCAACTGGGTTCCCGAGAAGGAGGGCTACTCCCTCTACCTGCGCCCGACGCTCATCGGTACGCAGCCGTCGCTCGGTGTGGGCGAGACGAAGGAGGCGCTGCTGTTCGTCATCATGTCTCCGGTGGGCCCGTACTACTCTTCGGTCGTCAAGCCCGTGGCCCTCGAGGCCAACCCAGAGCGCGTGCGTGCCTGGCCTGGCGGCACGGGCGATGCCAAGCTGGGTGCGAACTACGGCCCGTGCATTCTGCCGCAGCGCGAGGCCGCAAAGAAGGGCTACCAGCAGAACCTGTGGCTCTTTGGTGATGAGCACTACCTCACCGAGGTCGGCACGATGAACCTGTTTGTGGTACTGAAGAACGACGATGGCAGCTACGAGGTGGTCACTCCGCCGCTCAACGGCATGATTCTGCCGGGTGTGACGCGTGACTCGGTGCTCGGCCTGCTGCGTGCGCACGAGAGTGGCCAGTCGCCGTTGTCCAACCTGCCCAAGATCCATGTGAGCGAGCGCGAGATCAAGATGCAAGAGCTGCAGGACGCCGCGGCGCAGGGCAAGCTCGTGGAGGTGTTTGGCGCGGGTACTGCGGCGGTGATCAGTCCCGTGGACCGGATCGGCTACCAGGGCAAGGACATCCACGTGCCTGTCACTAGCTCGGGCTTTGGCCCCGTGGCCGAGGTGATGCTCAACACCCTGTCGGCAATCCAGTGGGGCAAGGTGGAGCACCCGTGGTCGGTGCCGGTGTCGAAGTAAAGCGTAGCCGCACATCGTTATTAGTCATGAACTAGTACATGTCTGCAAAGAACGCCTTGGCATCCGCTTCGGTATCCAGCGTCTCGTCCGGGACCACAAGCGTCGCCGAATTTGTGCCGCGCCGCCGCTGCCCGGGCGGCGCTTCGTTGTCGCTCGAGTCTGTGTCATCGCTCACCTCGGCGCTGCGGGCCACGGCAGGGATGTCGACCTGGACGACGGCCTCTTCATCCACCTCCTCGTCGTCGTCGGCTTCAAGCAGCGGACGTAGGTCAGTCAGCTTGCATTCACTCCCGTGACCTAGACTCGCAACGAAGTGACCCTTCTTGCGCATCACTTCCACTGGCATCCCGTCGTGGTCCGCAACGATCCCCAGTAGTTTATGTGGGAAGAGCTGCACCACACGGATCAGACCGTCCGATGAGCCGGTCAGCACCGTATCGTCATCCAGCGTGCAGATTGCATCGACACTCGACGGATGACCGGGGAAGCGGTCCACATGGTCCAGCAAACCACGCGAAGGCGCCCAGAGCGACAAGATGCCCAGCTGTGTGCCCACCACGAGCTTCTTGCCACTTTGATGAGAATAGCACGTACCCTTTAATTGCCGCAACCGATAGCAGCTCGTCTTCCTGGTCGTCACTCACTTCAACGGCCTTTTTCTTCGACCGCACATCGATTACACTCAATGTGCCATCACCGCTAGTGCACACAAGCCGGCTGCGTGCATCACGTTCCTGGGACTCATCGCGCTTCCTTTTCTGTACTTGATCCTTGCTGCGCGTACGCGCAGGCTCAAGGTTGGTGCACCAGAGAAGGTCAGTAATCCAGTCAGTGTGGTGGTCGAAGGACTGGAGAGGCTTGGCATCCTCGTTGACCAGCGCAGGATCCCAGAGGCGCACAACGCCATCATCGTCACCCGTAACGAGCAAGTGAGCATCCACAGAGAGAATCCGCGAGGGTGCCGAACTGCATCAGCGATAGCGCCAACGTACTCATGTGCTTTGTTCATGCGCTGCAACACCTCCCCAGTGTGTGGATCAAGCGCCATAAGGGAGCCATCCTTGAATATGGCGTAAATGTGCGAGCCATCTGCATCAAATGTGACACCGCGGCAGCTCTTGTGCGACGGACGGACGCTCCACAGTCGCTTGTAGCGCTTCTTTGACGAGTCGGTTGCTGCATCCTGGTGGACCAGGGCGCTGTAATCAAACAGCTGCACCTTTCCGCTGATCAGGCCAACAGCGAGCAGGTGTTTGTCCTCGTCTGGGTGAAATGCGACATCGAGCGCATCTGAGGACAGCGCAATGTCCATGCTCGCAACGCACGCACACCGACTCGCACGGTCGCAAACGAGCAACAAGGCGCTGCACGTGATAGCCAACTTTTTTCCGTAACCAGCGGAGCTGCAGCTTCCCAGCATGAGTGCCGAAAAAGAGCGGAACGATGGCGTTGCAGAAATGAAGGAGCGAAAGGAAAAGAAAGACAAGAAGGAGAAGAAGGAAAAGAAGGAGAGGAAGGAAAAGAAGGAAAAGAAGGACAAGCACGGAAGCAAAGAAGCCAAGAAGGAGAAGAAAGACAAGAAGAGCAAGACGCAGGCACCTGCAGCGGAGGACATGCCCACGCCTCCGCCTGTTGCACCTAAAACTAGTGCTGGGCCGGTACGTGCACTATTAACCCAGTCACCGCGCGAAGCACGCGAGTTCCTCGAAAAGAACGGCATCACGATAGAGATGCCCGAGGACAGCACGGATCATCCTCCCATGCCAATGCTTTCGTTTGACGAGCTGAGCGGCAAGATTGACTCGCAACTCAAGGACCGCTTTGATGCTGAGGGATTCAAGGAACCCACGCTGATTCAGTCGTGCTGCTGGCCCGTGATGCTCCAAGGCAAGGACATTGTCGGTGTCGCCGAAACCGGTTCAGGCAAGACGCTTGCATTTGGTGTGCCCGCGTTGCAGCATGTCATTGAGAACCAGTCGAACAAGAAATTGAAGAAGGCCATCCAGGTGCTAGTTATTGCGCCGACGCGCGAGTTGGCAATCCAGACGCGTGACAATCTGGCACGAGTCAGTGAGCCGCTTGGGTTTGGCACCTTTAGTCTGTACGGTGGTGTGTCCAAAACGGAGCAGCTGCGTTCGCTGCAGAAGAATGCGTTGCCAGTAAACATTGTTGTCGGCACACCGGGCCGCGTTTTGGACCTGGCGCGCGAAGGGTCGTTGGATCTCAGCAAGGTCAGTTTCCTGACGCTCGACGAGGCAGACCGCATGCTCGATAAGGGCTTTGAGCCCGACATTCGCGCAATCATTGGCATGACCAAGTCGAACGACGATGGGCGCCGCACGAGCATGTTTAGCGCGACATGGCCACCAGCCGTGCGTGGACTCGCCGAGACCTTTATGAAGTCGCCGATCCGCGTCACGGTCGGCAGCGACGAGCTCAGCGCCAACCGTAAGGTGTCGCAAGAGGTTGAGGTGCTGCAGGACGGTCGCGAAAAGGAGCGCCGTCTGAACTCGTTCCTGCGTTCAGTGAATGCGATGAAGTCGTCGGACAAGATCTTGATCTTTGCGCTGTACAAGAAAGAGGCGCAGCGCGTTGAAAACACGCTGCGCCGTTGGGGGTACCGCGTGTCGGGTATTCACGGCGACCTCAACCAGCACGACCGCATCGCGAGTCTGGAGGCCTTCAAGTCGGGTGAGACGCCCTTGCTCGTCGCCACAGACGTGGCTGCGCGTGGACTGGATATCCCGAATGTCGAGCAGGTAATCAATTATACCTTCCCGTTGACAATTGAGGACTACATTCACCGCATCGGACGTACGGGCCGTGGTGGAAAGACGGGTAAGGCACTCACATTCTTTACGGATGAGGACAAGGCACATGCGGGCGAGCTGATCCGCGTATTGAAGGACGCCGACCAGCCTGTGCCCGAGGCCATGAACAAGTTCCCTACTACCATCAAGCGCAAGACACATTCGAGCTACGGTGATCACTACAAAGAGCTCGTTCCTGGCAAGGCGAAAAAGATTACATTCGACGACGACGACTAGTGTACAATGTAGTAATTAACCGCGTGATGGCCCCAACCAACCAGATACAGGGACGCCAATCAAGTGGTACAAAAGACAGGCTGGAAAAGTGATGGAGAAAAAAAAAACTCCCAACGTGGGGCTCGAACCCACGACATTCAGATAACTCTTCGTAACCGAAGAGACTCTTTTTAAGAGTCTGACGCTCTACCGACTGAGCTAGCCGGGATATGTTCTGGCCACTCGCGGGCGGTTTGAGCCTATAGCGTGTTCGACTAAATCCCACACGGACTTCGCTACACCCATTTGTTGCGCTCAACGTGCTTTCTACATATGTACCCGCGTGCTTGTCTACTCAGAAAGGGACACTGGATTAGCCATGTAGACTTACTCAAACTTCCAACAAAGGTCAGAATTAGGCGCTGGCGCAGCTCAACAATGTCTTCGGGGACCAGGAAAATCAAGGCACCCAATTTGCGAGCAATGCTGATGGCCAACTTGGCGTTGAGCTTGCATTCTTCCTCAGTATCGCCGCGATGCACCATGGAGTAGTCGACGATACCCTTACGCATGGTGTCGAGCAAGTCCAGGAAGAACTTCGCATTCGACAGACTCGGGTCGCGGAACGAGCGGACCATGGACGTCTTGCCCGCGGCCTTGAGCCGGTTGTTGGCCCACTGAAGGATTTCGGTATCCGAGACAGACTTGCCGCTGCGTGAGAGCTCGGCAAGTGTCTTGGTGATGTTCATGCGCATGATCTGCCATACGAGACCGAGCGTCAGTGTCTTGGCGCCGTCAGTGATATCGGCGCCCTGGATGCCCACGAGCTGCAAGTGGTTCGCGCGCGCGATTTCGAGGACATAGTTAGTGTTTTCGACCATCTTAAAGCGCGACAACTCCTGCCCCTCCTTAGGACGCGACACCCGCTTCCAGTTGACCGAACCCGGGGCGACCTTGTCAAAGGCCTGCACCAGGATGTTGCCGTCCTTAAGGTCCTCGAACAGATGGAACACGCCCGGGTGCACATCCAAACTGTTGAGCCACAGCGTAAAGACGCGCGCCTCACGCTCTCCCTCCGCGTCAAAGTCTTCCACGTCGAGCGGTGGTGCATCTTCGACCGGGTCCAGCGATGGCCACGTGTTGAAGAGCGTCGCGACAAACGCCAGATTAAGCTTGGGATTGCCGGCGATCATCGAGCCTGGTGTAAGGTACTTGCGGCACCCGATCGCATCAGCACGTTGCAGCACCATCTCGGCGCGCGTCATCAGGTCAGGTTCCTGGAGCGGCCGTTTGTCGCAGGCGTCCGGCTTGATCTGGTTGAGCAGGATGGTGTAGTTTTCGCCATCCGAGACATCCTTGGAAAAGTTCGACACACGGCGCCCCCACTGCGCTGCCTTCAGGTGGTAGTTGAACCAGCGCAGGAGGATTTGGTCGGGAGGCAGCTTGAGGAAGTCGTCGAGTTCCTCGCCGTCCTCGAGCAGGCGGAACAGCTCAGGGTGGTGCTTCAGGTCGATCTTACTGAGCAGACCGCGGCGCACAATCTGCCAAATCAGGCCCAGAATCAGGTGCTCGCGTCCGTCGGTGAGATCCTGCGCGCCGATGTTTACGACGCTGCACCCAATCGCCTTGGCGGACTGGATGACGACGTTGTTGTTCTCGGTCATCTGGAAGTTGTTGGGTCCCTTGCCGCCTTTACCAAAGTTGAGCGCACGCTCGTCGATCGTGTCCGGCACCGCGTCGTTGATCAGCTTGCTGAGGATCAAACCATCGCGACACTCATCAAACAGCTGGAACGTGTCCGTGGGAATCGGAAGCCGAGTGCCGATGTGCGTGTCACCCGCAAGGCTCATGTTAATGTGCCGTGTAAACTCGGAGCGCTCGTCTTCGTTGATCGAATGCTGTGTGGACGCATTGCTGCCGCGCACCGTCACACGACCCTTGTTCACGACGCCAGCTTCGGCATTGCTGCCCTTGCGGAGGCGAGCAATGAGCTGCGTGAGTGATGTAACGTACGTCAACATAGTCCTCGACCTCAACGCGACCGCTTGCGTCCAGTTCGACGTCCTTCAGCGTGGCACGGACCTGATCGTAGGAGGCCTTTTCGAGATCCTGCACCTCTTTGACAACCACCTGGCGTTCCAAACTGCCCTTCCCATCCACGTCCATCTGGTGGAACTTGTTGATGAGGGACATCATCTCCTCCTGGGAGCTGTGTCAGCCGTGTGCGACGCACAATTGCGGATATTTGCGTTGCAGCTTGATGGCCTCCATGGTGGGGCTCGTCGCACGGACGACGGTCCGTGTGTCCACGTGACTCTACAAAAGTGGACGTGCCACCGAGGGACCACGACGCTGGGCGAGGGGCGTGATGAAGTGTAGGTGGGCAAACTGACGCAGTCTCCCACAGCTTGCAGCTGAATAGTGTCCCAGAATGGTCTGACCAGTACATCAAGTGCGTATGCGCGGCTAACGCAGTTATCAGCACCTCAAGAAGCTCATCTACTCGTTTGAGCGTGCCCAGTACAACGCGAACGACGCCGAGACCGGTGCGCACCGTCTCGAGAGCGAGTCGGCCCTGCTGCTCGATGCGTCGCCGTCCGATACTGATGCGCTGTTTGTGCCGCACCTCGATAAGGAGCTGCGCAAGATCGTCGAGTTCTATTGCCTCAAAGAGAAAGAGCTGGCGGACGATGTGCGCGTCGCCCACGACCACGTACGCCTCGCGGAGGAAGAGTATCAGGAGTATCCTTCAGGAGGCGAGTCTGATGGCGATGTGAGCGAGGACGGTGAAGAGGCGGCGCTCTCGCCGCAGACGCGGCGCAAGACGCCGTCGTGGTACATTCCGAAGCGGCAGCGCTCGAACATGAGCCAGGGTGATAACGAGGCGCAACACACGCAGGGCACGTCGCCTTCGACCTCAACCACGCTTCTTCCCGCGTACAAGGGGTGGATCAAGACGTTTGGTCGGCGCGGCTCGTTCCGCCGTGGCCGTCGCGGATCGGCAAGCGTCGACCACCGCGCGGATGCCGACGTGGCTGGCGCCGGCGGCGCAAGCATGGGTGGAAGCAGTATCGACGAGGCAGGGCGATCCGTGTGGCTCTCCACGGACGAGTACGCGATCGATGTGCGCATCACGCTCAAGCGCGAGCTCACCGCGCTGTACACCTCGCTCTCGGAGCTGCAAAAATATACCGAGCTGAACCTCACAGGCATGGTCAAGATTCTCAAAAAGTACGACAAGATTACCGGCAGTCATCTCAAGGACCGCTACGTGGAGCAGGTCGTCAAGGTCAAGTACCCGTTCCAGCCGCACGCACACGCGCAGCTTGACGCATACCTTGCCGAGGTGCTCCAGCTCTATGCGACGGTCGCAACGCGCGGTGATGTCGAGCAGGCACAGACACAGCTCAAGGCGCAATTGCGGGAGGAAGTCGTGTGGCAGCGCAACACGGTGTGGCGCGAGATGATCAACATTGAGCGGCGTGCGCAGGCGGCATCCCTCGAGGGCGGCGGCATCGGCACGGCAGCCGGCGACCTGCTGGCCAAGGAGGCGCTGCCTCCGCGCGTGCTGCACACCCCGTGTGGTGACGTGCTGCTGCCTGCCTTTCTGACGACGGGCACGCTACAACTGTTTGTGTCGCTGGTGCTGTTTGTGCTGCTGCTCAAGAGTCCGGCGTTCCGCGTGTTTGACGAGGTAGAGGTGCAAAACTGCTTTGCACTGCTGGTGCTGTGCACCTGCCTGTGGGTTACCGAGGTGATCCCGCTGTTTGTCACCTCCTTCCTCGTGCCGCTGCTCATCGTAACGCTGCGCGTCGCACGCGTCGAGCACGACGGTGAGCGGCGGCGTATGACTGCGCCTGAGACGAGCAAGTGGGTGTTCCAGCAGATGTTTGCGCCGAGCGTCTCACTGTTGCTTGGCGGCTTTACGCTCGCTGCGGCGCTGTCCAAGTACGGCATTGACAAGGTGCTCGCGACGCGCGTGCTGCGCCTCGCCGGGACAAAGCCGAGCGTCGTGCTACTGGCGCACATGCTCGTCGCATGCTTTGCGAGCATGTGGATCTCCAACGTCGCTGCGCCCGTGCTCATGTTCTCGCTGGTGCAGCCGATCCTGCGCAACCTACCGCCCAAGTCGCCTTACGCCACCAGTCTGGTCATGGGCATTGCGCTCGCCTCCAACATCGGTGGGCAGACGTCGCCAATCGCCTCGCCGCAGAACCTCATTGCGCTCGAGTACATGAAACAGCCGATCGGCTGGCTGCAGTGGTTCTCGATCACGATTCCCGTGTCGGGCGTGTCGCTGCTGGTGCTATGGGCACTGCTCCTGTGGTCCTTTGGAAGCGGCAAGGGCGTCGTGATCAAGCGCATCCCCGAGCCGAGCCACGCACTGGACAAGACGCAGTGGTTCATCTCGGCGGTGTGCATCGGCACGATTGTGCTGTGGTGCGTGGAGCGCAAGATTGAGTGGATCGTGGGTGACATGGCTATCGTTGCAATCGTGCCGCTCGTGTGCTTCTTCGGCACAGGGATCCTGACCAAGGAAGACTTCAACAACTTCCTCTGGACCATTGTGTTCCTCGCGATGGGCGGCATTGCACTGGGCAAGGGCGTCGACTCCAGCGGACTGCTCTCGGCGCTCGACCGCTTCGTGCAGTCGCACGTCGAGGGGTTGCCGCTGTACCGCATCCTCTTCTTGCTCGTCACCACTGGGCTCGTGGTCGCAACCTTCATTTCGCACACCATCGCCGCGGTGCTTCTTGTACCGCTCGCCGCGCAAATCGGCGAAAATCTGTCGCAGCCGCACCCGCGCCTGCTCATCATGGCAACGGTGCTCACCGCAAGCGCGGCCATGGGCCTGCCCATCTCGGGTTTCCCCAACATGACGGCCATCAACCTCGAGGACGAGGTGGGACACCGCTACGTGTCGGTGCGCACCTTTTTGCGTGTCGGCATCCCAGCGAGCCTGCTCGCAACCGCGGTGATCAGCAGCGTCGGATATGCTCTCATGTCACTGCTCGGTCTGTAGGTGTCCTTTCGCGGGGTATATATGTACAGACTAGGTGCGCGTGTGTCGGTGCGCGAGCCAACGGCCCACCACTTCGAACGAGCCGATCATGATGCCACACGACGGCGCGACTTTGGCAAGACGCGGCGTCAGGCCACGGAACACGCCTGATACGCCCTCAGATGCAACGATACGGCGCAGCGTGCCGAGCATCGCGCTTGTGGGCT